GTAAATTTCTAACAAGGGCATTCATCAAGTAAATTTTACTTGCAGGTATCATAAGTTTTTTACTAGCAAAACCTCAGGAATTTACTGATGTTTATTAATATGTTATTGATTTTACTCTCTCATTCTTTGTAAATTTTACTGTAAATTTCTGATGGCTTGCAAACCTGAAAAATCTCACCTAAAAAACAATGGCATTTTCAAGGTAATTTTTAAATACTTTTCTAACTTTTATTTATGGCATAATTTTAAGTAACATTTACACAACATTTTCATATTTTTCTGAGCAGTTTAATTACCTAAATGTGTTCTTTTTTTTGTTTATTGAACAAGTGACTTAAAAAAAATGAGGCAACTGTTTAATTTAACAACCCATTTACTTTTCTTAAATAAAAAAACATTTTCCAGCAAGTTTGCATGGGCAAAGGAGAACAAAAGGTATATTCAGCCCTATAGATGTTTTTTCTTGATTATTGTACTGCCACCCCTTTGTCTATTATGAGAGAGGATTGGGTTGAAGTTTTGTTAACATTCCAATGCTGCGCAGTTTTGAGAGGACGTTTTTCCACTCAACTGGCTAGGAAGCAGTATCTTAGCTTCAAAATCGTCCCAAAATACAATCAATAATCAATAACAATTGTTCCCATTACTGCTTGTCTAGAGTAATCCAAGTGCCTGTGCCACACTATGTCAAAAAGACGGTTTGGGTACTATGATATATATTATTCTATTACAAACTTGTAGATATCAGCTTTTACAATTTCTAAGTGCAAAAACTTTCCTAAGTTTTTCCAAGTAAATAACACTCCAAATTTTTTTCAGTGTAAAATCCTGCTACTACGTTAATGCATGAGTCATACTAATCTAATGATGTAACATATAACAGTATAACAGTCACAGGGGACATTCTTCTGCATTCGGTATCTTTACTTTTAATACTTTAAGTACATCGTCCCGATTATACTCACATACTTTTACTCAAGTACATTTTCAATGTAGGACTTTTATTTAGTATAGTATTTGTACTTTTGCTCAAGTAAAGGATCTGAATACTTCCTTCACCACAGTTTGAAACCACTTTGTCATGTTATCGGGTGTGTGTGTGTGTGTGTGTGTGTGTGTGTGTGTGTCTTCCTCACCTGCATGTAGGCAGCCCACAGGGCCATGCAGTTAGTGGGCAGCCCCAGAACGATGACTATGATGTAGAGTGTGGGCTGGAAGAACTGGTCCACCTTACTGTCCACATCACAGAACGAGATGTTGCACATTGTCCTGTGTGGAACGCTCTGAGTGTGTTTTTGTGTGTGCAGGTGTGTGATGTGTGTTCAGCTACTCTCAGCTCTGAGTGTCCCTCTGTAGTTTCACTATATTCCAGGTCCAGCAGTTTGACAGTGACATGCCGACCCTGGCGTCCTGCTCGGCTACTACACGGCTGTCCAACACGGAGCAACAGAAGAAAACAGAACTGTCATTTCCGGGGCATTTCATGGTTCCTGTTTAAAACACTGTCCTTCTCGCCCGGGGGCCTTGGTGCGCCATAATCCTCTCTCACGCTTCAAAGCCAGCCCCAGCGTCCCTCAGCACAGAGGAGAAGACGAGAAGAAAGGAAGGAGTGAGGGATAAAATGTGGTGAAATGAAAGCTGCCTTATCGACGCTGTGCCAGACCTCCTGTGCCTGGACGGGGCCTCATCAATCTTTTAGAGATTAGAGGTCTGCCAGGTCCACTGTGAGAAGGCGAGGCTGAACATCAGTGTGTGTGTGTGGGTGTGTCTCAAGGCCCTGATGACACTTTAGGATCTCACACTGAAAGGAATGACTTTACTGCGCTTCACCACTCTGGAGCCGATGGGCTGACTCCTGAGCATCTGCAAGAAAGAGAGAGAGAGAGAGACTATTAAATTATGATGCTTTATAATAAAAAAAAGACGAGAAAAGAAAACAAAATAACATTTTTTTTTGTTGATTTTTGTTACTTGTTATGTTCATGCCCTACCTAAATAATAATGACACTAATAACAGTAAAATAATTAAGATGAAGAGGACGGAATAAAAACGGCTAAAACTTGACTTTAATTAAAATTTTAATTTTATTAAATTATTTTAAATAAATCAAATAAAAGTTATAAAAAACACAAACAGAAACTTCAATTCTAGTTATTTCATCTATAAATGAAAGTCTTTAAAACCTTTTATTTTCGCTTTCACTGTTTGTCTGGCATATATGTTCTGCATGAGCTGATTCCAGTTTCTTATTAAGATTAAATTATTATTCAAACCAAAAAGACTATTCAAACAAATGGAAGTACAGTATTATGGACGTCATGCGCATCATTTTATACACGTTACTGACAGTTTTGGTATCTATTTTTAACTTGAATTTAAAATAAAGGTTCTTTCTGTTTGAACAATGTTTGACTGCAGCAGCATGAGTTTGTAATGACTGCAGTTAAAACAATGCTAAAACATGATGCTCTCTGTGCTGTAATTGTTACATTCTTCAGTACACATACGAGTCAGGAATGCAGAAATAGAAACAGAAAATCAGTCAAGACTGCAGTTTGTCCTCACTTCATTCTGCTTGCTTGCCTTGTCAGATGTCAGGCCCTCCTTACGTTACAACAAACTTTGTGTTTCAGGCTCATTTCCTGTATTTATTTGCGGTGCTCTACATTTAGTTTACATACTTTAATGCACTACGATTTCTTGTCACAAGACTCAGACCTGCAGTTTTTAGGTATTTGGTTTGGTTATTTGAAGTGACTAGAATCCCTCTTGAGGTGAAAACAAATCACTCAGAACTGCCTGGAATGAACACACCCTCAACACATACAGTCAAACCCTTTTCTTCTAATAGATTGAATTCTGCTGCCCTGACGGACTGAGAAAGAGTAGAAATGGGCCCACAGAGAGGAAGACTTTATGCGGCAAGTAAAGTGAAACAGCAGACATTTATCAGGGTGACTTTCTAACATCTGGTATGATAACACAGAACATGCTGACACATTGTATAAGGACAAAAAGACCTTGCATAGATTGCACACAGAGATTCCAGGACATAATGATAAGGATTATGTAAGCCTTCATGTAAACATGACCTGAATATATACATGTACAGCAGAGAGAGAGCAGGATGGGAGGTCAGTCTTAGTTACACTCGTCAACTTCTCACTTTCTCAACCCTTAGCTCAGTTTCTGTTTATACATCTTGGACCGCCTTGATATTTTTGCATATGGCTGATATGAGTCCACATATGCTTTCAATCACTTAACTTGAATATGTTAAGTACTGTGAACTGCTTTCCTCCAGAGTTTATGCATATTTCAGCTTCTTTTCATTCCTCTTAGATCGATAGACTTCAGAATTTACTGTGAAGGTTTTTTAACTTGAAGAGCTAAGTAGATGTTGCAGCTTTTACACATTTCAGTGAAATACTTATCAGTGTAAAGTAAAACTTTGATTAGGAATTAGAATCATATCAGCTAAATCCTGCTAACACCCACCAGAGGCTGTGTTTTTCATCATCTTAAGCAAAGGCGCAATCAGAATTCCTCTTGTCCTCATCCTCTATAGACCAATAATATCCAGAACAGATTTCATGGCAATCTGGCCAGTAGCTATCTCATGTATAATATGTGCATTACAGTTTTGTATAAAGCTGAAAATGAGTTATGAGTTTCTCTGGAGAGCATGAATGTACATCGCAAATGTCTTAGCAAACCAGTCGTATGATTCCTTGAGTACAAAGCTGACAGATCTGAATATTATGCATAATAATAGTTCATGCAGTGTCCAAAATGGAAAGGGCCCTGTGATGCCAAGGTCATCAAGGCTCTTAAGAGAGACTGAAGAGCTCCCACATGTGGACTCGATGACTATGAAGCAGTCTATTTCCAAAGAAAAAAGCAGGCATGCTGAGTCAGTGTCCTCTTCCTGGTTAAAAGTCTCAGCAAGAGGCCTCAAAGATGTCTGTCATCAGACATCAAAACAGTTTAAAGATCTGTGAAGGAAACAGCTTCTGCTTGCGATAATGTGACAGTCACTGGTGTGGAACAGTGACTTTGTACAAGCCGACCCAGTACCACAGTCATAAAGACAAACATATAAGAAAACACACACACATGCACACACACAGAGACACAGGGCTAAGTGAGGTCATTTCCACGGTAGCATTGTCAAATAAGTCTTTGTTGGGGGAAACACCCATGTTGATAAGCTGAACCACGACTGGGTCACGACCATAATTTGTCATCACACTCATCAATACCACAGTGCAAAGATATTTCAATGTTGACAGTACATTTGGTTAACTGTCTTTACCAAAAACGTTTCACATTGGAGATTTAAGTTATCAACCTACAAGCTCCTGTTAGCATTCCACACGTTGTAACTGCATCCAGGGTTTCACTGGCTGTTAGAGGTAAATTGTCATGTTTTTTCTTTAAATCCTCTACAACTTAAGTTTGCATTGCTAGGATTCCACATTGAAACAAACAAGCTGTGCCTCAGCTGTCTCACTGAGCTAGCATGACTAAAAAAGGCTTTTTGTTTTAAGCTCTTTAGGGAAGCTTCACTCCTTCCCAAAACTTCCCTTCCATCACAGAGAAACTCTCCAGCAGCCTGATACAAGTAGGAGTTAAACTTCTGTGTGTCGCATTAGCCCGTTTGACATAAAATATATTATTTTCTCCAGCTGACATTTCATATTGTGTTTCCATGATGTATAATCAATAAAATCTAACCTTAATTTTGAAAATACATTACTGCCAAATTTAGAATTAAGATTAAACTACAGTGAATTTGAATCTTCAGGTATTACAATGTCTGTCTATTTACATTTTCACATCAGTTTTATTATAACTGGTGCAAAGAAAAATAAATAAATAAGAAGGAAAGAAAGGGGAAGTTAAAAAGTTGAGTAAACTTTGTCAAACTCTGATGGAAATAAAATATTAGCATCTTTAATGGTTCAGTGTGTAACATTTAGGATATGAATATATGTTTTCATTTGTGTATAATCAAAATAAGAATTGTTATGGTTTTGTTACCTTAGAATGAGCTGTTTCTATCTACAGACGCCACAGACCGTCTTCGTGGAGTCTTCGCTATGTTTGTACGGTAGCCCAGAACGGACAAATCAAACACTGGCTCTTTATAGGACCGAACACAATTTCCACGTGTTTCATGCTTGGAAAAGAGGGTGAAGCGAGGGAGTTCCAATCAGAAACTGCAGTGCTACATGCTACTAAATCCTACCCACTGGACCTTTAAATTAGACATTGGTACAGTACTTGAGATACTTTTTAGCTTCAATTTGATGTCTTTAACCAGAGCAACTTTCTGGGAATGAACATTTACAGCATCATTAAAACAAAATTTTGTGTTTTGCTGCTCCACCCTGCAGCCATAGCGCTCCGCTGTCAAACAACTGAGATCACATCTGTCACCACTGAGCACCAAAGAGCGGCCTCACTTCCTCGCTAGATAAAACAGCGGGGCCACATGCCAGTGACAAAATCACTGCCAATCAACCTTATCACTGCATAAAATCAGCTCTCAGTGTGTGTGGAGGACAGGGTGTGATTCTGGCTTTGGGCTCGCATTGAGCTATGGGAACTTTCTGATTACATACAAATTGAGTTACAGTAATAATCTGGAAGCTTTTTATTCCAATAAATGTCTGTTAAGTCATTATCTATCGCCAAATCAGGTAACACACTGTTAATTGAGCATTTGGCCCCTGATGAAAGCACTTGAATTTGCATTATTAAGAACTGGGTGCTGGTGGCGACATTCCTGGGAAAAGTGATGCATTTTCCATCACCCAGCAGAGGTTGGCACGCCGGAGAGGGTAGGCGGAGCCAACACGACAGACTCGCTCTTCAGCTCTCGTGTAAAGGGGCGTATGTTTTATTCGTTGCTATGTGAGTAAACAATTACTCTGGCCAAACAAACAAAGAAACAATCGATGACTACCGACGATGTAACTTAAAAAAACTGCTCTGGGGAGTTAGGTCAAAAAACATGCCTCAGGTGCTGCCAAAGACAACGAAACAGAGATCTTCAAGACTGTTACCTTAATCTGAAATAAAGTCAGTTATCATCAGCTACAGAGGAGGAGTTTTTGGGGTGTTGTGTCTTGCTCAAGGGCACGTTGTCAGTCTTCATTTCCCCACGCAAAAGACTAACACGGGGTGACATGAGTTTGTTTCCCAGCATGCAGCAAACATCACTTGTGTTATCTTTGTCCAGCCTGTCACCAGAAATGTGGTTTGTTCTGTCAATTACAGATGTTTATCACGCAGCGTTTGCATGCGATGGCCCCACACCCGCAACTCTCCGCTGTTGTTGTGGTGCGTGTGCGTGCACTGTGTTTGTGCCTACATGTGAGGAAGAATATGTGTGTGTGTTTGTCGTCCTGGGAGGTTCCTTTACGCTGTCAGGCCAGTTAGCAGCAGCTGGCGGGCTCATCAACGGTCAAACATTCAGCCTGTTTCTGACACACAGGTTGCTGAACCGAGTCACGACGCTCAATCGCAGTCACAGAGGTTACGTTACACACACCTGCAGAGTGTGCTGACTGTACAGACTCACACTGCTTTGTCATCGTTAACTGAAGTGCCCTTCTGCAGGAATACATAAATAAAAAAATAGTCACTAGTTGTATTGTTGTTGTTGCTGTTGTTTTAATTATTTTGTGAGAAAGCCTTCCTAGATCCCACTAACAAGGATCAAGGAAATGTTATTTATCATTATACAACACACGGTTGTCCCTTCATGCTACAAACAAAAGAAAACAATTTAAAGAGTTATATATATTCATATATTCATACAGATACACCCAGGAAATAATTCTGCAGTGCATTA